GTGAGACTCCAACTCAAAAAAAAAAAAAAAAAAAAGCAATCGGTCCCTTGCCTAATTAGTCTGTGAAGTTGATGCACATGGCAGAAGCAAGGGAGAGAGAAAATTGGACAAGAGAAATAAGGAGAGACAGCTGAGACAATCTTTGTGAGAAAAGAGGAGCATCTACAAATGCCTTGGCCATGTAGGACAGGTAGGGCCTTTTAAAAAGGATTTGTGAAACTTCTGGAGTATTTTGTCATTATGACATTTTGATAATATAACAAAACATGAGGGTAAGGAGAGTGGTTGACTGCCTCTCTGTTGAGAAGAAAGGTGTGAACCCCTTGGGAAACAGGAGAGGAAAAAGGAGTTGTCTTGGGTCCTGCCATGCTCATTCCTTCCTCCAACCTGTTCTCTGTCCTTCCCTTACCTGGAAGGTCCTCCCTCCTTCCCGCTGCCTCTCTAAGTCTTGTGCTGTCTCAGACCAACACACGGACCCACGTCTCTGTGACGACTCCTGCCTCCCTTCCCTGAACTCCTTCAGCACATCTGCTGTGTACAACAAAATTCCCCCTGGATTAAGCATATTGTCTTTGAAAGGTTCTTGTGTGTGTGTCTCATAGAACCCCTTATAAACTCCTCGAGGACAAGGGCTGTTTCTTCTGCGGCTGCCCTGTCTCCCACAGTGCTGATGGCCTAATAGGCCCTCTGTGAGGCCTTGCTGGTTGACTGACTGAAGAGTTCAGTTAGACTCTCTTGCTCTTACTAGCAAAGCAGAGCGTGCACAATAAAGTCTTTCACTCTGAAATAACAAATTCAAAGATGGGGGGCCGGGAACATATTCGTACATAATTATCCATTGTCTTGAATGCCTCGTAGTAGCCAGACCCCAGAATCCTCAGGTTAGATATGGAAATAACTTTGATCGGTGTGATTGTGCTTTTTAGATGAGCGTTTCACTTAAATGGAATGCGTAAAGCAATACATAAAAACAGGAGTCACATGAGTCAAGGAAGGGGAAGAGTTTCTGTTACAAAGTTAACTCATATCCCAGTGCTCTTTTCTCCCCCTGTGTTTCATGGCTGCAAAGGAGTTCATGGGAGAAAACATTGTGTTTTATATTTCTTTTTCTTTTTTTTTGGAGTTGGAGTCTCACTCTGTCTCCCAGACTGGAGTGCATTGGCACGTTCACAGCCACTGCATCCTCATCCTGCTAGATTCAGGTGATCCTTCCACCTTCGCCTTCCAAGTAGCTGGAATTACAGGCACATGCCACCACGTCTGGCTAATTTTTTGATTTATTGTAGAGATGACGTCTCACCAAGTTGCCCAGGCTGGTCTTGAACCTGTGGACTCAGGCAATTCTCTCTCCTTGGCCTCTCAAAGTGCTGGGATTATAGGCAAGAGCCACCACACCCAGTCATGTTTTATATTTCTGACAATAACAGTGCAACCAAAGAGAGGATGTAATTAGAGGAAGAAAAAAGGAGCGAGGTCCACACTACTATGATTTTTTTTACTAAATGCCTCAAAACATTTTAGTGTGAAAGCAGCGATTAGTACTTGGGAAGGGAAGCTGAATTCACAAGACCTGGAATTCTGGATCTCTCTGTGGCAATTTTCGGGTATCTTGTGCTCTCACAGAATCCCACCTTATGATACAGATTCAGTCTGCGGCTGTTCCACGATGCTCATGAGAACTGTTAGTCGGCCTTGTGAGATTGCAGGGATCTAAATGTGTTCACACCCACCCACACAGAACAAAGGGGGAAACGGTCATTCTGACTTGGTGTTTTAATTTTTATTTATTTATTTATTTTTTGGAGTTGGAGTCTCACTCAGTTGCCCAGACTGGAGTGCAGGGGCCACTCCCGGCCACCGCAGCCTCGACCTGCTGGGCTCCGGCGATCCTTCCGCCTCA